GAAAAATGTACTGAACTGTTACGTGTTATCAGCCTTTCTTTTTCATTTATCTTTATGAAGATTAAATAATATGACACGAATAATATTTGAAAACGCATAACTGTCGTGGTCGAAACGATAATTAATGATTTTTCATTTGAGATGGAAAGCCCGTCAATTCCTTACTTAATGTTTCAGATTCATTTGGAGCATCTACAAAATCACGCGTACGTTTACAAGATACATTCATATTTCTTTTGATCATTTCACCCCCAAGCAAGGCAATAAAGTCACTAAGACTTAGTATGAAAGAATATAAGAAGAGGAAAACATAATTAAGCAAAAAGATTACTGTGGCAAGTATGACTGAGTATGAGAAAATATGAGAAAAATGTTACGGTGGCATTTTTTTTTTTACTTTTCAGATGGCCCACTAATAAATTATAGCTTTCTCTTCTTGATTGCTAGCAGAAGTTTCTTAGTCATTCATACTCTCTTTAAAACTAATTCATTTGTCACATGCATTGTTCGTAGTATTCTCCTTAAAACTTCCTCATTTTTTACATTCTCGGTTTATGGTATTCTCTCTAAAACCTCTTCATTTGTAACATTCTGTTCATAGAATTCTCCTTAATACTTCCTCATGTTTCACATATTCTGTTCGTGGTATTCGCCTTAATTCTCTCAACTGTCACATTCTTGTTCTTAAAACCTCATCCTTTGTCACATGCTCTGTTCGTAGTATTTTCCTTAAAAGTTCCTAATATGCTACATGCTCTGTTTATGGTATTCTCCTTAAAACTTCTTCATATGTCACATGCTCTATTCATGGTATTCAAATTAAAACCTCATCAATTGTCACATGCTCTGTTCGTGGTAGACTCCTTAAAACCTCCCCTTTGTCACATGATTTGTTCATGGCATTACTCTTAATACCTCCTCATGTTTCACATTCTCTGTCTATAGTATTCTTAGAAATCTTCAGTAGAAGGATGTCTTTGTCCCTTTAAGCCTCTTCTTCATGTGTAATGAAACTGTTCAACATTCACTTCCATAGGCGAGATTTGATATTACATAGCAGTTCAGCTCTGTTTTTCTTGTTTTTAAGCACATTCCTCGGAAGAACGACGTATCTTTCTCTTCAAGGCTTTCCATTATCTGCGAAGCGATTGTCCAAAATTCTCAGTCGAGAATGATTACATATTATTTTTTAAAGCCTTTTACTCCAAGCAAGGCAATAAAAACCACTAGTATGTAAAGAACATGTTCCAAAGAGACGATAAACATTGCCTTTAAAGTTTTGAAAATCGTAGTTGACAGAAAGGAAGAAATCGGAGAGTTCCACAGCGAGACATGCGGGAAAAGAAATTGTCAGCATTGAACTTATGCTTACAATTAGTAATTTCAGCAGTAAAATTACGAGGCTTTATGAACTACATATATTTCTCTTCAAAGCTTTTCTTTCTCTGTGAGGAAACTGTCCAACATTCACAGTTGTGTATGAGGCGGATAAACCGTGAAAAACAAATCAATCAATCAAAAAATCCAGTCATATAGGAGAGTAGATATTACTTTTTAAAAAAATTCACTACAAGCAAGGCAATAAAAGCTATTAGGATACAAGGAGATTGCAAAATCAATGTATAGAAAATCTGATGTAAGAGTTTGCAGGATTTACATTTTAATTCGGTGGTCAAAATCATTCATCAGTATATTGTGTTTCTTCTGGTAACGGTATTGAACTTTTAATTGATTCTTTAATCAGTTTGGTATCAACATGATGGCTCGTTATGTCAGTTTATTCTACATATTTTTTTAATAACTTCACCCCTAGCAAGGCGATAATGCCACTAAGATACAATGGGTTACTGAGCTCGAAAGAAACAGAAAGGACAATGTAATAACAGGAGTCAAGGAGACAGAAGATGACGACTAAGTTTTAAAGATCGTAATAGACAGGCAAGCAGATTGTTGGGAGCCGAAAGAGAGTTCCTCAAGTGCGCATAGTATTTATGCTTACAACTAGCAATTTTAATTCTGTGTTAATTCTGTGGCTGAAATACGAAAGAATAAAGGGAGTGAATTTGATTCCATTCATTTTATACTGCTTGATACATCACCACCTAGCTTCTGTTAAGAGAACCGCTGGCAGCCAACGATCACTTCCATATGAAAAGGATGTAAGCAACAGAATCCACTAGAGACCTATCAGCAAAAATCTAAGCCTAAAACAAATCACGTAATCAGCATATCTACTAGATACGAGATTAGATATTACTTTTTAAAACAGTTACCTCGAAGCAAGAAAATAAAAGCTATTAGGATACAAGGGGATTGCGAACTTTTAATTGATTCTTCCTTACACATCACATTTTCTGTTCGTGGTATTATCCTTAAAACTAGCACGTATGTCACATTTTCTGCTCATTGTATTCACCATAAAAATTCTTCATTCTCTGATAGTGGTATTCTCTTTAAAACTTCCTCATACGTGACATTCTCTGCTTGTATTATCGTTAAAATTTCTTGATATGTCACATGCTCTGATATATAATTCTTAAAACTTCCTCAATCGTCACATTCCCTGTTCTTTGTATTCTCCTTAAAACTTCCTAACACATCATATTCTCTGTTCGTGGTATTCTCCTTAAAAATTCCTCGTACGTCATATTCTCAGGTTCGTGGTATTCTCCTTAAACTTCCATTTACGTCACATTCTCTGTCCGTTGTATTCTACTCAAGACTTTCTCACACGTCAAATTCTCTGTTCGTGGTATTCTCCTTAAAATTTCCTCGTACGTCATACTCTCTGTTCGATGTATTCTCTTTAAAACTGGATCATATGTCACATACTATGTTAGCTTTATTCTCCTTAAAACATCCTCATATGTCACATTCTCTTTTCGTTGTATTCACTTTAAAACTTCCTAAATTATCACGTTCTCTGTTCGTTGGATTCTTTTTAAAACTTCCTCATATGTCACATTTTATTTTTGTAGTAGTCTCCTTTAAACTTTCTCATTTTTCACATTCTCTGTTCGTAGTATTCTCCTTAAATCTTCCTCATATGTCGCATTCAATGTTCTTTGTATTCACATGAAAACTTACTTATATGTCACAGTTTCTGTTCGGGGCATTCTTCTAAAAGCTTCATCGTATGTCGCATTCTCTGTTCGTTTTATTCTCCTTAAAACTTCCTCATAAATCACATTCTCTGTTCGGAGAATTCTCCTTAAAGCGTCCTCATATCTCTGTTCGTTTTGCCATCATTAAAACTTCCTTATGTGTTATATTCCCTGTTCGTTGTATTGTCCTCAAAACCTCCTTATACGTCACATTCTCTGATCGTTGTGGTATCCTTAAAACTTGCTCATATTGCACATTCCCTGTTCGTTGTAATCTCCTTAGAACTACGTCATACATCACATACTCTGTGCGTTATATTCTTCTTTAAACTTCCACATACTTCATACTCTCTGTTCGTTGTATTCCCCTTAAAACTTTCTCATATATCAAATTATCTGTTCGTTGTAATCACTTTGCAACTTCCACATACGTCACATTCCCCGTTTGTGGGATTCTCCTTAAAACTTCCATATACGTCACATTATCTGATTGATGTATTCTTCTTATAGTTGCTCATATGACACATTCCCTGTTCGTTGTATTCTCCTTAAAACTTTCTCAATCGTCACATTCCCTGTTCTTTGTATTCCCCTTAAAACTTCCTAACACATCATATTCTCTGTTCGTGGTATTCTCCTAAAACATTCCTCATACATCACATTCTATTTTCGTTGTATTCACCTTAAAGCTTCCTGATACATCACATTCTCTGTTCCTGGTATTCTCCTTAAAACTTCCACTTATGTCACATTCCACGTTATATTATATATAAGGAACCTTTAAGGAGAATACAACGAACAGAAAATGATATATGAAGAAGCTTTAGGGACAATACAACGAACAGAGAATGTGACATATGAGGAAGGGTTAAGGAGAATAGAACGAACCGGAAACGTGACGAATGAGAAAGTTTTCAGGAGAATACAACGGATAGAGAATATGACATATGAGGAGGTTTTAAGGTGAATTCAACGAACATTGAATGTAATTTGTGCGGAAGTTTTAACGAAAATACAACGTACAGTGAATGTAACACCTAAGGAAGTTTTAAGGCTAACACAACGAACAGAAAATGTGACACTGAAGAAGTTCTAAGGTGAATACCATGAACAGATAATTTGATATATGAGATAGTTTTAAGGAAAACAAAACGAACAGAGAATGTGACGTATATGGAAGTTTTAAGGCGAATATCACGTACAGAGAATATGACGTATGCGGAAGTTTTAAGGAGAATACAAAGAACAGAGAATATAATACATGATGGAATTTTAAGGATAACACAATGAACAGAGAATGTGACATATGAGGAAGGTTTAAGGAGAATACAACGAACCGGGAACCTGGCGAATGTGAAAGTTTTCAGGATAATACAACGAACAGACAATGTTAAATATGAGGAAGTTTTAAGATGGATAAAAAGAACAGAGAATGTAACACATGAGCAAATTTTAAGGATAACACAACGAACTGATAATGTGACATATGAGGAAGTTTCAATGAGAATACAACGAAGAGAGAACGTAACGTATGTAGAAGTATTAGGGAGAATGCCGCGAATAGAGAATGTGATGTATGAAGACATTTTATGGAGAATTCAACGAAAAACTTCACATATTAGCAAGATTGATGATCATCGAACAGATGATATGACATATTAGGAAGATTTAAGGAGAATGCAACGAACAGAGAATGTGACGCCTGAAGAAGGTTTAGGGAGAATAATATGAACAGCGAATGTAACAAATGAGAAAGTTTTAAGGAGAATACAACGAACAGAGAATGTTATATATAACTTTGTTTGTTGATTTCTCCTTAAAACTTATGAATTCTCCTTAATACTTCCACATACGTCACATACTCTGTTCGTTGAATTCTCCTTTGAACTTGCTCATATGTCACATTCTGTTTTTGTTGTAATCACCTTAAAACTTTCTCAAACATTACATTCTCTGTTTGTTGACCTTAAACATTCCCCATATATCACATTCTCTGTTCGTACTATTCACCTTAAAACTTCCTCATATGTCACATTGTCTGTTCGTTGTATTATCCTGAAAACTTTCTCATTCGTCACATTCTCTGTTCGTTTAATTCTCCTTAAAGCTTCCTCATATGTCACATTCTCTCTTCGTGGTAGTCTCCTTAAAACTTCCGAGTACGTAAAATTCCCTCTTCGTTGTTTCCTCTTTAATACTACCTCATATATCAAATTATCTCTTCATGTTATTCACCTTAGAACTTCTTCAGTGTCACATTTTCTGTTCGTTGTGTTATCCTTAAATCTTCTTCATATGTCACATTATCTGTTCGTTGTATTCTCCTTAATACCATATGTCACATTCCCTGTTCGTATTACTCTCTTTAAACTTTCCTCATACGTTACATTCCCTGTTTGTTGTATTCTCCTTAAAACTTCCTCATATATCACATTCTCTCTTCGTGTTATTCTCCTGAAAACGTCCTCATTTGCCACGTCTATTCATGGTATACTACTGAAATCTTCCTCATATGTCACATCCTCAGTTCATGGGGAGGAAAACTGAAGAAAGGACAATAAAACAACTGGGTTCATTTAGACAGTACATGACGATTGTCGTTGCATTGAAAAAAATTTTTTATTGCAGGGAAGCAGGAAATCTGAAGGGAGTCTCGGCCGTTGTACGCCCCGACGATCTTCATGTTTCTTTTTTTTTAATGTTGAACCGAACTCAGAATAGTTAATCTGTATTTTAATAATTTAAATCGATTATAATAGTGGGGAATTTAGGTGTTTCAGAATTCTTTTAAAAGAACTTCGGGTGGCTATTAGATCCCTCGAACCCAGAATGCTTTTAAAAGTATTTCAGGTGGTAATTAAGTGTCCATGCTTGAAAAAAAAAAAATACAAGACCATAATTAAAACTCTGAATGTTTTACAAATGACGGCGACTAAATATCCTGGACTGACTTGCTTTCAAAATTGTCGGGTGGCAATTAAGTCGTACAGAAATCAGAATGCTTAAAAAAGGTGTGTGGATCGTGTTAAGCAAAGGTTAGTTATATAGAACTCCGAATGCCATGAAGCATTGTCGAGTGATAGAATGATTTTTAAAAGGACTCACATTCACTGCCAACGATAACTCTTTAGAAAAAGCCGTAGGTACTTCTCACAGTATAGAAATATCCTTGATGAAACGCTAAAGGCAAGTCGAATATAAGCCTTGGGGAAAAGCTCAAATGAGTTTTCCTTCTCTTCGACTGTCTGCCATCGATGTTTGCAGAACCCATTATTCACTGTTATAACTAGCGAAGAGGGATAGATTCATGCCTTTTCTATGGGCAATAATACAAGATAAACGCAATATATTCACCTGGGTATGAACTCGTCCATAATCGCTAAGGTATCTACGTATCAATTAAAACTGATCCTGGGCGTTTCCTGGTTGCAACTGACCATGAATACTTTCAAAAAGTGTCGTATGGTAACTAAGTTTATAGGATCCAAATCCTATATTCCAACAAATGACTAAAAAAACACAAAGTAGATTTGCACAACCGCAAAATCGGATCAAAACGACCAAAAACAGATTTCACAATAAGGTGTGAAAAATGCGATCCTTATTAGGAGACAACACCATGTCCGAAGTGGTGTTAAAGAAACTGTGGATGGATAAACTACAAACACATACAACACAGATACTCGCATCACTCCCCGATGATTTATAGCTGGAGAAAATAGCAGAAATAGCAGACAAAATACATGACAACAACCAAGACAAAAATGTATACGCCACATCACATGCACCAACAGATACAGCAACATTACCAGACAAGTCATCTGAATTGTCGCAGCTGTATAAGCAAATGGCGAATCTCAGCTTACAAGTACAGAGTCTGATACAAGCACAGAAATCTCAGCGTTCTCGTCCAACATTCAGAAATAGATCCTACTCACCACACAGACGTCGAAGTAGATCGAACTCTTTCTCCAGAGATCAAGTTACACACGATACATGTTGGCATCATTATAAATTTGGAAGAAATGCAAGGAAGTGCACTGAACCATGCAATTTCAATTCAAAAACTTCTCACATTTCTACACAACACCAGGGAAACGACTATGCCAGCAGCAAGTAAAGACGACATTAGCTGCTGGATTAAAACAAGAGAGTCGTCTATTTTACATCCGGGACAGAAGTAACGGATATTTATTTTTAGTCGACACCGGCGCTCAGATCAGTGTTATCCCACCAAATACGAAACAAAAGCCTACATTCTCCACATACACATTACAGGCTGCAAATGGATCAAAGATAGAAACATACGGTGAGATATCACTAACGCTTGATTTGGGTCTAAGAAGATCTTTTCCATGGATTTTCACACAAGCAAAAGTGAAAACACCTATCCTAGGAGCGGATTTCCTATCCCATTTCGATTTATCAGTGAATATGGCTACACACTCTCTCATTGACAGTAACACAAACCTAAGAACAAAGGGAATCATCTCAATCTACAAGTCAACAGGAATTAGTTCAGCAATACCAACGGCTAATGGCCTACATGAATTGATAAAAAAATTTCCTACACTAACCACGCCTTTAACACATACAGATGAAATCCGTCACACTGCTAAACATTATATTACCACAGCTGGACCACCTACACACGCATCACCACGAAGATTACATCCGGATAAATATAAAATAGCAAAATACGAATTTCAAAATATGTTGCAGTTAGGCATCATACGTCCTTCAAATAGCCCATACTCCTCTCCGCTACATATGGTTCCGAAACCAGAAGCTGGCGCATGGCGACCTTGTGGGGATTTTAGGAATCTCAATGCAAAAACTATTCCTGATAGATATCCTATACCGCACTTACATGATTTCGCCATAGGTTTGCAAGGAACCACAGTTTTTACAAAATTGGATTTGGTTAAAGCGTACTACCAAATTCCAGTAGCAGAAGAAGACATAAATAAAACTGCAATTACCACTCCTTTTAGACTCTATGAATTCACCAGAATGCCATTTGGGTTACGTAATGCCGCCCAAACCTTTCAAAGACTCATTGATGAAGTTTTGAGAGGATTGCCTTTTACCTTTGCATATATCGATGACGTGCTTATCGCCAGTCGTGATAAAAAAGAACACCTATATCATATTCAACAAGTCTTCGAGAGACTGGCACATTTTGGCTTAAAGATAAATGTCCACAAATGCGATTTTGCTGTTTCAAAGTTAAATTTCTTGGGCCATGTGATCGACAAAAACGGAATCACACCTGTCCCAGAGAAAGTAGCAGCAATACAAAACTTTCAGCAACCGACATCACTGCGTCAATTAAGACGATTTCTCGGTTTAATAAATTACTACCGTAGATTTATTCCAGGTTGTTCCAGAATTTTGACCCCACTCACAAACTTGCTGCAAAAACAGAAGAAGGAAAAATGCAAAAATACTGATTGACGGAGAAGCGTTAGCTGCATTTCAAAATGCTAAAAAAGCGTTAGCAGATTTTACCAAGCTCTCTTACATCAGTGATGAGGCTAACTCAACACTTACATTGACAACTGACGCCTCAGGAGATTCAATTGGAGCAGTTCTACATCAGAAGCTAAATGGTTCAGAAAAGCCAACCTCCTTTTTCTCGGTCAAATTAAACAAAGCACAGCAGAAGTACAATACCTTCTCGAGAGAGTTACTAGCTATTTACTTAGCAATAAGGCATTTTCGACATCTGCTCGAGGGACGAAACTTTACTGTTTTCACAGACCACAAACCCATCAATTCTGAAACACTTACCTTCGACCTCATTGCAGATGAACAAAAGGAAGATACCACATTATACAAAATAAAAGAGGACACTTCTTTACAATTGAAGGAACACCTCGTCCCATTTGGAACAAAAACACTACTCTGTGACGTTGGGACTGGTTATTCAAGACCATATATTCCACCTTCATCGAGAAAAAAGATATTTCTGCATTTTCACAATCTCTCACATCCTGGACACCGAGTAACTGACAAGTTGATTAGCAGTCGTTTTGTCTGGCCAAACATGCATACTGACATAAAAAGCTGGATTCAAACTTGTTTAAAGTGCCAAAAAAGCAAAATAAACAGACATACTAAGTCCCCTCCTGGGCATTTTCTAAAACCAGATGGTAGATTCACGAATCTTCACATGGACATAGTGGTCCCTTACCAGAAGTAAACGGACATAGTTACCTACTCACTATTATAGACCGATTCACAAGATGGCCTGTCGTTGTTCCTCTAAGGAATATATCTGCAGAAACGATCTCTAAAAGTATATTACATGAGTGGATTGCCGTTATTGGTTGTCCCTCAGTAATAACTACAGACCGAGGTTCTCAGTTCCAATCTACGCTCTTTGATGAGTTCACAAAACTATTGGGAGTTAAGCATATAACAACAACGGCTTATCACCCATGTGCCAATGGCTTAATTGAACGTTTCCACAGGCAACTTAAGACAGCATTAACTGCAAATAATGATTCTAAGACATAGTTAGAAAATCTACCGCTAATATTACTATCCATTCGGAATGTAATCAAAGAAGATTTAGGATGTACAGCATCCGAAATAGTTTTTGGAACGTCCTTAAATTTACCAGGACAGTTTTGTGATAAATCCAGTCAACTCCAACCAACTACATCTTTTGTACAAAGATTTAAGCAAAGAATGAATGAACTAGTTTTCACACCCACTAGAACACAAACAAAAGAACTTTACACTCCAAAAGACCTCCACAATTGTGAATATGTTTTCGTACGAAACGACACAGTAAAAAGGCCTCTTTGCCCTACTTATACGGGACCTTTCCAAGTAGTCAACAGAAAACCCAAATATTTCACAATTGTAGCAAAAAAAAAACAAGACACTGTCTCTATAGACAGACTAAAACCAGCGTACTTGGATTTACCTACAAAGGAAAGTACGTCAGAACATTCTACAGCCACGACAAATACCAACGTAAGTGAAACATTTTCTACACCTCCAAACACACCTAAAAACATTACGACAAGATCGGGTAGGCACGTACACTGGCCTACACATTTTAAAACATATATTAGATATTGAAAAATATTTTCAATATTTATCAATCTGGAGGGGGGTTTATAGGATCCAAATCCTATATTCCAACAAATGACTAAAAAAACACAAAGTAGATTTGCACACCCGCAAAATCGGATCAGAACGACCAAAAACAGATTTCACAATAAGGTGTGAAATTAATTTTCTGACCAATGAAAGGAGGCGATTTGCTAAACCAAAAAAAAAAAAAAAAGATAACGAGCCAGTGTGAAAAAAAAGTCAACAATAAATACAGAGTTTTCAAGTCAGTTGCCAGTCAGTCAGTCAGGGAAGGGCGCAAAAGATCACAGAAGATTGACAGTAAATTCCATCACTGACTCAACCCGAAAAGTGGAGTAGGAAGGAATAACAACAACAACAACAACCACAAATTTACAACTGACTCCAAAACAATTCATAAGTACATTTTCCTTTCATCTTTGTTCCTTATTCACACT